TGAATGGATGGATGGAAACATGGATGGATGCATGGATGAATGGATGGATGAAAAGATGGATGGATGGATAGAAACATGGATGGTTGGATGATGGATGAATGGATGGATGGAAACATGGATGGATGCATGGATGAATGGATGGATGAAAAGATGGATGGATGGATAGAAAGATGGATGGACAGATAGAAACATGGATGGATTTCTATAAGCATCTCTTCTTTAACAGCCACTGTAAAAAACCTCCTTGTTGAATCAACTTCATTTTAATTATTTTTTACAGCGAATCTGAGATTCAGGAACTAAAATATTCTTTTCCTCTGCTTCCTGTTCCCTTAAGATTCCAAATAAATTCCAGGACTTTTCCAAACTTTTCAAGACAGATAACCAGAAACTAAAATCAGTTTTCAAAGACGAGGAAAATAATAAAATCTGGTCTCTTTTTATCTGTGTGATTAGAAAATTTTAGCTATTTAAATCTGATCTATCACTGTGGTCAAAGTTTCTGTGAAATTCAAACTGTTTCATCGTTTACCAAATTAAACCAAATTAATCCGACTGTAAAATCTCAATCAACTCACATTCAACTGGTCAATTTACTCAACTTTTCCTATTTCACCTCAAACCGGTGAATAAATTCCGCTTAATTCCTATTTTTTTCCGGCGCACATTTGGCGCCACGCCGGTTTTTTGACGAGTGACAGCACCGCGGCGACGTAACGGGAATTCCACGCAGCGCTTTTCCACTCGGCTGACGGAAACATCCCAGTCCAGTCAACACCAATCAACCGAGACACGTTACAACAACAAACGTGTTTTTGACACGGAAATGTCCCGGGAGACACCGCGACTGACAAGTGAACCGCAGGAATCCCGCAGAGTTCAAACCCGCACTTTGAGACACTCACCCTCCGTGGGAGACACGTCCAGCACGGTGACCGAACCGGAACACAGAGGGGGAGAAATAAAATGTGTTCGGGGAGGAAATCCACTCCGTCCGGCGCCGAGAGGTCTGCTGGCTGCCGCACCTGAAGACCCAAAGCCCGCTGTGAAAACCCAGCCTAGGCGAAGTAACATCAGCCAGGCTGGTGGTGCGTTCAAGCACCGCGCAATCGAGGAGAAAATGGGAGCTCCCTGCACTGTCAGCGACTCAGAAAGTTATTTTTAGATTATTTGGTAGAGCCGGTCCGACGGCTTCAGGGGCCTAAACAGAATATTGTTTTCGATTATATCACGTAGCAAACATCTAATATTTACAAAAGCAGAGTTCACTTCATGATTTATCTGTTATTTATAGACAGAGAAGTTAAAAAATTATACACAAGTAAAAAGAAATAGTGACTTGAATTGTGATTATAATCTAAAAATTCTGACTTTAATCTCAAAATTCAGATTTTCATCTAAAAATTTGGACATTCATCTCAGAATTTTGACGTTTTCTTACAATTCTGAAATAAATCTAAGAATTCTGAGTTTAATCTCAGAATTCTGACTTTTTTTTCCCCTCATAATTCTGACTTTAACCTAAAAATTGGGACTTTAATCTCAGAGTCCAAACTTTCACCTCAAACTTCTGACTTTAATCTGGGAATCCAGACGTTAATCTCAGAATTCAAACTTTTTATCCTTAGAATTCCGACTTAAACCTAAAAGTTCTGAGTTTACTCTCAGAATTCTGACTTTGATCTGAAAATCCAGATGTTAATCTCAGAATTCTGACCTTTTTCTCAGAATTCTGACTTTAATCTCATCTTGACCCTGCTGTAGAAAAGACTCCCCTGCAACATGACACTGCCACCACCGTGCTTCACCATAGTAGAATTGAGTTGAAGTCGATTCTGTCAAATTTAATTGTTTTCTCAGAATAATGGAAGAATTGAGAGTTAATAAAGTTTCACTATTGGGGATTAAAGCGAAAAAACCATCTAAATAACATTGTATTAGTCAATTATTTTACATTTAACAGATGCAAGAGGTAAGATGTTCACGCAAAGCTACAAAAGATGCAGAAGTCAATTGGCATTTAAGAAAACAAACAAAATTAAAACATGACGCCATTTTGATAAATGAACCAAAAATATCTGATCAAGGTTTCAGACATATTGATGCATAAGCCTTGTAAGCAAAACTTTTGCTAAAGTTTTTGTAAATAGAACCTATTGGGACACCGGCACCGTGCTGAGTTCAAGGTATATATTTATTCCCACTGTCCTTGAACGCATCAGCTCGTCTCAACGGTGACAGACGTGTTGTGCGGTGAGTCACAGCTGACTCAGAGTTTCGTGTCCCGCCCACACAACACGGGGGCAGCCAATAGCGGCTGCGCGGAAGCGTGCACAGTGGTGAGCAGTCACGCAGCCCACCGCACGGTTCCTCTTCCTCTGTGCGTGGGAGCGTGGGGGGCCACGGGGGGCCGCTGTCCGGAAGCCATGCCTATTAAGAGAGAGACGTACTCTGAAAAAATGCATAGTAAACATGAAAGATTAATTTTAAAATACAAGAAACGAGTAAATAAATAAATACATCGTTAGAAATATAGATATAATAAAGAAGTAGCAGCTAAATTTGTAAATTCAGATAAAATCTGAAAGAATAACAGTCATTCTGGGGGAAATCCTTTATGGTCATATTAGCAAATTAAATACAGATTACAAGACATATGATGACCATTCGGGTAGTAACTAGTTACATTTACTCAATTACACTTACTAAAGTAAGTTTTTTGGGGGGAAATGTAATTTTATTTGTATTTTTACTACTGCTTTTTACTTTTACTTGAGTGAATTTATTTTGAAGTGTTGCTACTGTTGTGTGAGTAAAATTTCTGATGAGTAACTTCACTGTATGAAGAGCTTGATTATAGTTTTTTATTTATATTTATACTGAATCAAATTGGAGAAATATTAATTTCTTCCTGATTTCTTCATTTTGTAATGATATTTATATTAAATATTTTTCATTTCTGTCTTTGAATTATCAAAATTTCCACATAACTTTATATTTTGGTCCATTTGATGATTTAATTTTTAAATATTAAATTACTTATGTTTTGATTAGTTACTTGGTGCTAGTACTTAATATTTACTAGTATTAGTGTACAGAAAAAATAAGACGTACACTAAAAAGTGTAATCTATACAAGAAAAATCAAACAATTTGAATTAATTCAATCAATTTCACCTACATTCAGAGTAAAATATTCAAATCTCATAAAGTTTTTGATGGCTGAATAAAGTAGAAGATAATTTGTGTAAATTTTCAACTATCAACTTTAAACAAGTCTATATTTCTACAACAGGTTATTATGATTAATAATAATCGACTTTAAAGTGATTAAAATGACAATCTAGTTAACTCGTATAACTTATTTTATCTATTTAGATTATATTTTAACATAAAGCTTGAGAAATGCAAATTATTTTATTAAATTATATGAGGCTGCTGAAATTGACGAGTTCTGAATTGTTCTGCCCTCTAGTGTTGGACATGGGAACTGCAACAGAAGTTCCGCCAAACAACTGTTTTCCGAATTCATTTATTTTCTCTTAAAGGTTTAAAAACTCGGTGATTGAACCCACCTAAGATTATTCTTTTTATCCTGCGTGTATTTAACATCTAACCCAGTTTTTAAGGTTTACTAGAGGGAATACTTTGTATTACTTCCTCTCCTAGGCTCACATTTTCATGGTTTGTCCTGCTGCGCCCTCGTGTGGTGAATGATTGAAACTACATCTAAAACCGCAACAGGTTATTCATTGTTTCCTTCAGAAAAAGACTAGAAGATAAGCAAAATACAGGAGAGAAATAAATAAATGAATGCAAGCAAAATATCAGATAAATTTAAATTTAAAAAAATATATATATTTGTCGATTTTAGCCTCCTGAATCGGACCGATACTGATATGTAACAAGGCGAACATCAGCCAATACAGATGCTAATGTCCATCAATTTAATAAAATCAGTTTGTGATTATAAGGAAGACATAAAATAGGAGTTATAAAAGTCAAAATATCAATTCTGCATAATCTAACTTTTACTAAAAAAAATTTACATTTCTACATATTTGCTGAAATTGTCACTATGTCCCAATATAAAACATAATCTGTGAAAATTTTTTTAGCTCTTTTGCTTTCTCCCAGAACTAACTAGAAATAACCAATCAGAGTCAGGAGGCGGGTTTTAGCGCTGTCAATCACTCTATGTGTGGCGTTCTCTGCAGCTAGCACGTTCTGAATAACTAAGCTAGTTAGCATAGCCACCAATGATGGTGGATAAGCGGTTTTATTGTCATGGTAAGTTTTTTCTCCTCCATTAGCATATTTAGCAAGTACATGTGGATGATTGAGAGCACTAAGACCCGTCTCCTGGCTCTGATTGGTTGATTTCAGCCAGGAGCTGTGCATTTCATTAGAGTAGCTTTTCGCAAATTATCTGTCTTATATCCCATCAGAACACGGTGACAGTTTTAACAAATATTCAGGGGCAAATGACACAAAAATAAGAGTATTCTTCAACATATTTTTACTCAAGTAAAAATAAAAAGTAGCCACCTAAGAAATTTATCAAATTATCAATCATTTAATATATATATTAAAAAAACATCATCAGACAGACCAAAATAAAAAGTGGAAATTTTGGTATCTTAGGAACAAAAATGACAATAATTCATATAAGTAACAAATAAATAAATCAAAAATCAGGCATAAGAAAATGTTTCCAAATCAGTTTCTTTCAATAAAAAACTTATGAACCTTTAAGAAAAACTGCAGGTGTGTGTCTGTTTATGGTGAATTTTAAAACATGCTTGTTTTTCATTCAGTGGTTAGAAAATCCAGAAATTTTACTCAAGAAAGAGTAAAAATACTTCATAACAAAATTAATCAAGTAAAAGTAAAAAGTACAAATACTCCTTAAAGTCATTTTAAAAACTTACTGAAGTAATAATTGAGTAAATGTAACAACTTGTGCAAATATGTATTTTGATCAAAGTTACGTACAGCATTAGGAAATAAAAAACATGTCAAAGTGAACATATGTGGTGGGTTTGGCTTCACCCGCTGCCCTCTAAGCCCATTAAAGCTCCTTAAGTCCGACAGTTCTGCCTCTGAGTCAGAGCAAGATGAGCTTCGAAGACCGCCACACCGTGTCCTCCTACCGCAAGATCTTCGGAGATTCTCCCCGCTTCCCCACCTCTTCCTCCCGCATGGGCAGCGCGGCTCCTCGGCCATTAGCGGGGCCCAGAGCCACGGCCGCGCCCCGCCACGGCGCATCCTCCGTGGGGATGTACAGACGCCTCGGTCGGTCCTCCGCTCCGTTCTCTCTGGTTCCGACCGGTTCTTTCGATTTGAGCCAAACCGCTGTGGTCAACAACGAATTCAAATTAATCAGAACCAACGAGAAGGAGCAGCTGCAGGTATGTGAGTTTAAAATGAGCCAATGTTAGAAATTAAACCTGGTAGAGTTTGGTAAATATTATGAATTTAAGGCTCAAATCTTACTTATCTAATTTATGAAAAAGCAAAAACAATATTTTTCATCATTGATACTGGGAAATCTTTCTAAAATACCATAGACTTAATTAATATGGAGGATCAAAAGTGCCAAATTACTGTTGATAAAGAAATAATTCACAAAAAACTGTAATCAATTTTGTAAATATGGAAACAAATACATTAAATTCATAATTAACACAATTTACCACAAATAATTATTTGAAATTCGTACTGTTAATGACTACTTTTTTTATCAACTAATTTATGTATTAAATTGTTTCAAGATTGGTCGTGAATAATACCACAGGACTGTGACATCATTAAATACTGAAATAACTGCTCATGTTTCCTAATTTCACTTTGAAATAATCAGTGTCACTCAATCATTTAAATTACTACAATTAAATGTATTTAATTAGATATGTGTGTGTGTGTGTGTGTGTGTGTGTGTGTGTGTTTCCAATTTTGCTGAAATTAGGCAATATGCAAATATTTATATATTTACGTATTAATTAAAGCACTTTTGGTTTTTGATACAAACACAGGACTATTAAATAATGAAAGATATACTGAAACAATTATATTTACTTTCAACATATACTGAATACAGTACATTTTATAGATGATTAATGTACTTGTTTCCATATTTAGAAAAATTTAATTTTGTAATTTGGCACTTTTGGTCTTCCACATATTCACTTTTATATTGTTTTGAAGCCACAATTC